GGAGGACATATAGTGGAAAGTGGTACTCATACAGAATTGATACAACGACGTGGATCTTATTATAGGATGCTTGCTCAAAACAATTTCAAATGACCACCATTGAACTAGTTTGAAAGTGAAAAGACACTTTGTTCATCAACAAGAGAAACTTTTCCTAATAAATTTGACTCGTGATATTGTTACATGAATGAATTTACTGTATAATTTTTATAATTAATAAGAGGTTAAATGTTTAATCGAGTCACACACTATTATATCAGTTTTTTTTAACTTATTAATCCTAGATGAATATAGTACAAGCAATGATGATCTCGATAACTACTTCGAGTTAGAATTATTTATACAAAAGTAACTTAGCATAAAAAACATATCCTCATAATTCATTATAACATCAATAATTAATCATGAAATGATAAAAAATAATCATATGTATAAGTGTAATAGTTATCAGTTAGGGGTGCACCGGTGACGGTTCACCATCCACCGTTCCACCGTACCAGCGGTGCCACCGGTGAACGGTGAACCGGTGGACCAATGAGACCGGTGGACCAATGAGACCGGTGGACCAATGAGACCGGTGGACGGTGCACTGGTCACTTTTTTGTATTTCGGTGTCTCTCCTACACGATACATCTCAGAAGCTTGAGCACTTAATTTTCCGATAAGAAGTAATCCTTCGTCCTGATTAATTTTGGGAATACTGATCAGAACTTCGAAGTAAGGCAGAGAATCAAACCGATAAGATTATACAAAGCCATAATGGAGACTGGCGTATTAGTATTGCTGGATTCATTGAGTATTATATTGTTTGAGTAAGAGCGGAAACCGGTCGTCACCGTAGATTTTCATAGTTCTAAATGAACAATATTGATGTTAACGGCAATAGTTGAACCTGTTTTCTTGAGTAGACGATGATATAACAAACGAAACGTTTCTTTCGTACCTAATTACGATGGTTAGGCTGAGAAAAAGGTTGGTTGAACCATGAAAATCTGTGGTAATGGCTGCTGTAGAGGCATCGGTGGTTGATAAAATAATGCGGACGCGTAACTAGTATCCGAATACGGTCACCTCAGTAACTCCTTGATATTCTAACTGGCTATATTCTCTTCAACGCTGAAGATTGAAAACAGTTTTTCGATTCGAAAGTATGGAAGTACAGAAGACACCATTTCGCCCATGAATGCAGTGATCAGGTTAATGATATCGCCAGTTTGAAGATAAAAGCTCACATTGATAGTTGGTGTATCGACAGCAGTGTGTGTTGTGGGGCCTAAAACGCGTGACAAACTATAGAAACTGGCTATCATCGTAGGTTGTTCTTGTTCTAACTGGCACTATTGTTCGCTGTCATCCTTATTTAAACTGTATTTCTAATTGCACACTATTACCTTATGGAAGATATTTGTGGCGTCCTAGTACAAAGACCAAGCTAGTAATACGGTCGACGAGAGCATAAAAGTCTTGCTAATGGAGACTGTATTGGTCTGGGGTGTGGGTGGTGTCTGTGTGGGTGAGGGTGTGGGTGTGGGTGTGGGTGTGGGTGTGGGTGTGGGTGTGGGTGTGGGTGTGGGTGTGGGCGTGGTGTGGCTGTGGCTGTGGGTGGGTGTGGGTGTGGATGAAGAGAAGAACGACACTCACACCCACAGCCACACCCACACTCACCCACACCCGTACCCACACCCATACCCACATCCGCCCACACCCCACACCGACAGCCACATCCACACCCACACCACCGTCCTAGAGAGAAGATAACAAAATGAAAAAAAGAAGAAAAAAAACACAGACTATTATTACAAGCTTTTCTTGCTCCATAATCACTTGCAATATATGTTTCATGCACATCTTACTACACTGTAGAAAATTCTAAGTTTGTATATGTAAAGCTATTCGTTGTTGGAATTTCAATCATCGTGGCTAGAATGTATAGTACAAGAAGTGTTCAGTTTTGGTATGTATACTTAACTGAATTCTGTTACTATCTGGCATTTTGTGCAGTGTCCCGAATGAAAGAATTAAGACTAATAAATCTGTTTCTAACTTTAGGTTTATTAAAGTAAGTTCACTTGCTTGGCCCCCTTGCACATTATAAACAACCAATTACATATCAAAGAGTGATCACACTTAAGTTTGGAACTATCCACGAAAGAGAAGAGAACACGTCTATCACTGACGAACAATATAATGATAGAAGAACAGGCAAGGATAAGTCCTAGCAAAAAGAGAATATATCATGAGAGAAAACAGATGAATGAAAAAGAATAGCGCATACACAATTCTGGCGGCACTAACTCTTATGAATTGCATCGGGAAGATGAAAATCATAATAGATCTTCTTTCTTTCATTGAATTAGATCTTATCAGTTCGTAATTCGTAGGATGTCGATATCTGACCATCTCATGTACGATAGTGTCCGACATTATTCATTTATCCGACGAGAATAATAAAATGATAAAATTTCTGGAAGGATTTAACAAGTCGAGTCGTGACTTTCAATAAAATGTAGAACGCCGTTTATACTCTATTCACAAAAAGTTCCCGCACAATTTGCCGAAAACTGATTATTATGGATGGCAAACAGGTATTGTGATTTAAAGTATGAATTTTAATTTAGAGAACTCTGTTCATTCATATGGAATGTATCAATAACTTTGAGTCAAGCTGAAAGGCATTCTTTGTCTTGTGTTTCACCCATACCAATTACTTTATTAATGAACTGTATTGAGGCTTTTTATGGATAGACTTCAGTTATTAGTCTACATTTCGGTGAAATTTTCAACTCCAATCGTTAAATGTTTGCAAAAATATCATAACTTTATTGTTTTCAAGAGGTTGATAAACAATTGTGGGTGCCACTGTAAATAATGGATCCACTACTAATGAATGACTGTTATTAAGAGAGAAGAAAGTCATTGGCGTAGTCTCTAAGGTGAATGCAAGAAAAATAACTGCTTTCAACAAGCATTGATTTTCGTAATCGAGTATTTCTTTAGACGTTTCGCAATCAAATCAAAACAGAGCTATCGCAATACAGGTTTTTGTTGATTGTGACTTATGCTGATCACCATGACTAGCTTATCAACTTGAAGAGAAGTCTTGATGAGAAGTTTCATTACACGATCGAAAGAAGATATTCGAAACATACTGAAACTGAAAATACCTACCACAGGCATCACTCAAAGAATAGCTGTCTCGAAAATCTCAAATTTTCATTGTGTCATCTTGTTTTTAAAGATTTTCATATGTAATGGTACATGTAATAAACATTCTGCAATTATTTGTGTTCAGTAATGAAATTTCTTCAAATACAAGTGTTATTAAGAGCTATTATTTCCATTCGAGAAGTTCCGAGGATCAACATGTTCTAAGTGAAAATGTCGATAATTAGTTATCAAGCGGACCGTTGGTGAATTCCGTTGATTTTGGCTCTCAACAAGACTTTTTCAGGAATCATCATAATTTTTTTCTCTATTTGCTATAAATAAAACAGTCTTCTTTCATGTTTATCAACTAGTTCAATTATAAGGGTCCCTTTTTCTTAAGAACGAAACTTTTAAATTGAACAAACTTTCTGTGCGAATTCTGCAAAGCTGCAACTTGAATACTATGTGAGAAGTTAAATACTTAAAAGTCAAACAGCATTCAACTCTTCCCACTAACGATGACTTTTGATTAATTTTCATTGCAAAACAAAGTAGTCTAGATGATATAGTCAGTGTACGACATTTTCAGTTTGATATGTCTTCTTGCTAGAGCTAGTTCCACTCCTGAGTAGCGAAACAGACTAGTGCAAACTTTTGCATATCTATGATGTCTTTGTTTGACCAAAGATGTTTCTTATTGTAGATGTATCTTCTTCGAAATCAACTACTATGGCGAGATGGGAAGTTATCAGACAAGAAAGCGAAATCACGGACGTGATGAAAATAAATATATTGTGCACAATAAGTACTACGATTGATCTATATAGATCATCGGAAATGGCAAAAATTGCCGCCACTGTTACACACTGGCTTAATGAAACGTATGGAAAACAGTGGGCTATGGTAATTTGCAAGGTAGGCGCAGGTGGCTTGATTGCCCATGTCAAGGAAAAGAAATGGCTGTCAGTGACAGAAATGAATTTGGGATGGAAGATTATTGTATGGAAAAGCAGTTGATCTTCAAAAAAATGCTAAGATTCTGATTTAAGATTGTTATTTAGTTCTTTCCTTTTTTATTGTCAGAAAATGTGATATATAGTGAACTATTATTGCTTATTATTTTTCTGTGATTCATTTGCAATAAAACGTAATTGGCAGAATCTTACAAGTTCTTATCCAAATTTAGAAAGGCCTAGAACGTTGGAAAATTTTTCAAACGATTCAGAATCCAAAAGAAACGATTATCGACAATATGTTGAAAAATCTATTGTGGAAAACTTGATTATGATAAGATGGTACCGTTGACACATATACCACCTAATTTTAAACGATGAATACTGTCAATTGAAACGATAGATTACTTTCATTCTTGTTTTGGAGTTCATAATTACTTATAGAGTACATTTTTTAGCTTCATTTCTGAAGTTCTCTCCCACCACATTCATAAATGCTATCATTGCTTCCAGATCGTTCGAAAGACCTAGCATATGAATTTGGATGTGTGTGTGTACCATGTTATGATTCGGTTTAGTTAAATAGAAGGAGAAAAGAAACACAAGAATGGGTACTCTCATATACACTTTCATACTATCATAAGTACGCACATTGACACATATAACCACACTTACTTATCCTTCAATAAATTAGGATAGTAAATATGAAACTACTGTAGATATTGTTCCTTTTAAATAAGTAGATTTATCTAAAGCTCAGATAATGGATAAATGCAAATTAGAATCCAAATGAACAGACCAATGAAAATCAAACTATATACAAATCTTTCTGATTATCTTCTTTGAATATCAGTTTATTCTTTAACGTTTTATTCATGTGAGTGATATACGAACGATTTTAATCGTAGAATTTTGATGCATGGCAAAAAGTTGCAAGGAAAAGTCTGATGTCCGGATCGGGCAGTTGCATATGACTGGGTAAAGTTGAATCACGTTTTGCTTATGACTTTCTACAATTTTTTCTAGTGTATTTCCATTGGAAATCCACAGATTTAGAAGTCAAAATCATTCACGTGGATAAAAGTAATATTTTGCAAAAAACAAGTATTATTAAATAAATTACCTAATAAAAGTTTGCTTTCTTTCGTGGTTTTTGTTTTTTTCTTAAGTCATATGGAGATAAATTCATTTATCAAAATATTTCGAAAAAAAAATTATTTTACTCTATAAACGTAATATTTGTATTTAAGAACATGAATGCTTCAAAGTTCATCCTTTCATAATTACGTTAAGTGAATCGATAGTTATTCTATCAAATGTGTCTCATATTCATAGATAACCATCTGACAAAAATAAACTAGACACATTAAAAACTAATCTAAACATTTTTGAAAAAAGATGAGTTATCATGATTATCACTGTAAATCTTTTTTAAATATTGAAAAATTTGAATAATGATTTTGAAAAATCTGTTAAAAGTAGTGAATATTTTTTTGAAGATCGCTTTGCTGTAAGTGGAATATATTTGTTTACTTGATCATAGAACTTTTTCGTTTGAAAAATTTATATCGATTATGACGTATATCTAAATTTTATATCTAGTTGATTGATGAAGTATAATTTTAATTCTTCGATAGAGAAATGTGAATTTTTTATAACCACTATGTAATCTTTTCTAATAATAAAAAGAAAGACGATAAATATCTTTTAGATGATCATTATGAAAAAGATGATTGAATTTTTCAAAAACCTGTTTCATTTTTTGAAAACTACTATTGTAGAATAAAGAAAATGTGCTTATCATAAAATTTTAAAGACTTGCATACTATTTATGATTCAATCAATAAAATTAGCTCTTTTTTAGGCACAGAAAAAGGTCAAAGAGTATGTATAAATTTGCATATAACATGTGTAAATGTGTTCAATCGATTTCTATCGTATTTGACTGTATAGTATGTCATCTACACTATCCTCAGCATTGTATCCTCTTCTGACCTGTTTCCTGAGCATTGACTCTAACATAGTTGTCTGCAGTACCGATGTACTTTGCTAGAAGAAGATGCGATGTCGATGGAAGCATATATGACATATTCTACTGTCAAATACGATAGTTAATAATAGAGATCGATTGGACACGTTCACCTTAACTATATGCAAAATTCAACTATAAGACTTAAAATTAAAAAAGAAAAGATACATTCCTTTTAAATTACTAAACTGATGTATCTGAGTTCAGTCGGCCTACTTACTGATAAAAGATATGGGTGTTTGTAGAATTATCTGAACACCAAAGAATGAAAAAATAGTAATTTCATTAACGTGAATATTGTTGAAAAGATACTAGAAATGGTGACATTTCATCATTAACTAAAAATAAAAACTCTTTCAACTTCTCTTTATTTAGCACTAGTTTTTATCTTTAATTATATGATAAATATGTATGTCTTACAGTTTTTTTTTAAGAAAAAACCTGTTCAAAAACAAGAAATATTTTATTCACATAAATGTTTATTTAAACATTTTCACTACATTTAGTAAAATGAAATGAAATTCTCGGAAGATTGATGTTGAAACGATGAATCTCAATATGTTCATATTCATTTGCAATATTGGTTTAATCAAGAGATTCTTCTTCAATTAATATGATGTCAAAAAATAACTCTTTGGTTAATTAAGAAATTACAAGAAAAAGAATGTTTTTCCAGTGGTGTGACTACATTCTAGAATATTAAATTCGTTTCTATGAGATCTATGACGCAGAACGCTTCTACTATCATCATATTGAAAACAAGTTATACCTAGAAATAATTCTTTTCATCAATGCTTTCTCGATATTTTAATAATAATAATGTAATGTTTGTTCATCACAGATGGTTGATATCCAACAGAAAAAAAAAGAACAAAACCTACGTTTTTAATCACATAAAGTATCTTGAGTGAGCTCTTAGTTGTTAAACTAGATTGCTCTAGAAAAACTTGCCAAAGGTGAGCACATTTATATTCAGTAAAGTTTTTCTAATTATATTCAAGTTTTGAAACCAATCGCATATGTAATAAAGGTAAAATGAATTTAGCAAACAATTTTGCCTAATTTTTCTCTATAATGAACATCTCGAACATCTTAATATTAGAAGGTACAAAAATTTTGATCACTATGCTTTTGTTGTTTAACTAACAACAATTATTGACAATAAGTAAAATATTATTATAAGATGATATTTATAAAAGAAATCTTTCACAAATACATAATTATTTTTGTTGTTGTTCTACTCTATTTGTAACATCATGTTCTTGTTTAAAAAAATCACAATATTGATTTTCGTTTGAAAGGAAACATAGTTTGATCGTATGTTCAAGTGACTTTTTTCTTCGAGAGCATATTCGTAGTATAATTTTAAAAAAGTGTTTTTCCAAGACCTAAAGTCTACAGTTTGTTTTCTAGATACAATCCATGGTGATACGTTTCAAACAACTTATTTTAGTATAAGAATAATATCAACATGAGAGTTTTTTTTTAGTTTAATTCTTTACCGACAATCTACCTTTTGCTAAATGATCTTTGTTCGTAATGATCATTCAATCATTTTATCAATTACGATAGATAATTAATCTACTAAGGTAAAATAATGAATATTCCTGTTATGTTCAACAGATAAAACCATTTTTCTGTGAAAATTTTATTATGAAATTTATTCGTAATAAAAAATTTTCTGGCAGTATATACTTCTTTTTTTTTTTACAATAATTAATCATTTACTTTGAATAGAAAAATATTGAAAAGTTTAGTAGACACATTAATAAAGCTATTCCAACATTAATATTAGATAAGACCAGCTTAGTAACAGATTATCACGAAAACTATGTTTAAAATCGTGTTCTTGTAAATGTGTGGAAAACGATTTTATGGAAAACATAAGCCGTTTAGTTTTGTCAATGAATATTACTACTGATTTAAATAAAAAATCGATTATATTTTTAGATATTAAAAATGACATTATTTACTTTTATCAATATATGCTCGTTCCTTTTTCTGCTGCCTATTGATGAAGTATCAGGTAAATATTTAACAAAATGTGTCAATATACTTATTTTAAAAGTCAGATACATTAGTTTTGTGTCATCAACTTTGTCAACAAATAACTATTCAAGACAAGTAAATCAAATTTCATCGGAAAAAATATGTACAATAAATAATAGACAGAATATGTATACTTTTAGTTTGATAAATACCATTGACTGTTTCGATTTGAAACCGAACATGATATTCTTGCTTTCGAAATTCGATCACTTTCTACAGTTTCCTTATCAGTTTCGACCCGACATGATCGGAACCGAACAAGAAAATCAAAAACCACTGGACATTCAATTAAATTCATCAATTTGATTTTTATAAAACTCACAGCAGTTGGATAACAAACGAGGGATTTGAGCCTGATTTCGGCAATCAGGTTCAGATAGGATCTAATAAATCGGAATGTAGCAGTATTTTAGTTACTTATTTGATAAATATTATTCTGGTCGTAGCCTAATTTGTTTACTTTTTTCAGCAATATCGTACAATCAGCCAAAATTGTGTCCTAATGCAACATGGAACTCGACGGCAATAACATTTGCAACTAGCAGTGTTGTTGGCTCGTATCCTCAAGGAATTTTTGTTGATACAAACAATACTGTTTATGTAGCCCATCGAACAAACAATGCAGTTCTAGTATGGCTTAATGAAAGTACCACGCTGACACAAAATATATCTGGTGGCTTAAGCTATCCATATGGCATTTTCGTTACGGATATAGGTGATATTTATGTTGATAATGGATATTCGAATAGTCGAGTCGATAAATGGACATCAAATGCAACTACTAGTGTTCCAGCTATGTACATGTGTGGACAGTGCTATGGTCTCTTTGTCGATATTACGGATACACTTTACTGTTCATTGTTTGGTTATCATCAAGTTATCTCAAATTCACAGAGACAAGGTTCAAACACATGGACTATTGTAGCTGGTAATGGTATTGCAGCATTGTCATCGACTTCACTTTATAATCCTCGTGGAATCTTTGTTGATAAGAATTTAAACTTGTATGTCGCTGATAGTGAAAATGATCGAATTCAGTTTTTTCCACCTGGGCAATTAAATGGAACAACTTTAGTGGGCACTGGAGCATCCGGGACTATTGCACTCTTATATCCAACTGCAGTTGTTCTTGATGCTGACGGATATCTTTTCATTGTTGACTGTTATTATCATCGCATTGTAGGTTCGAGTTCCAACGGTTTTCGATGCATAGCAGCATGCACTGGAGCTGGTTCAACATCTAGTCAATTATATTATCCATTAACTCTTAGTTTTGATAGTTATGGAAACATATTTGTCACTGATCAATATAATCATAGAATTCAGAAGTTTCTTTTATCAACAAATTCATGCAGTAAGTGTTGTTATATGTTAATTATAGAAACACCTATAAAATTCATTTTGGTGAGCGATTTTATTAGTCTAAAATAAAATCATTGTGGAGTTTTTCATAAACACTCTATTCATACTCAGTTTGGTAAAGTATTCAATTAATTCGATATTAAAAGTGAATATTATTCATTTTGATTAAATGAGAGTCTATTTAATTATAGATGGAGCGACAACAGCAACAACAATGAGTACTGGTATTGAATATCTTTATTTTTCTTCTGTATCATGAATGAATTTGTTTTTTGATTTTTAGTAACAAGTTCGATGAGCACCTTTCAACAAACTACTTCATCAATATCCATGTCTTATTCAAATGGTAACCTAATGACTTCATATTCTTGATTAGTGAAGTGTCTATCGAGAGTAAATCAGATATATTATAATTTGAGATACTTCTTCTTTCTACTACCTTCTCGTCGATCGATAACTTTTTTACTGCCTTCGTGGCATACAAAAAGGTCATTTAATAAAAAAAAGCTAATAATTAAGTCATAAATTGATAATATCAGGTAGAATGAATATTTTTCACCTGAGATACAATGTGTACAAGGAGGAAAAACAGATTATTATGGGTTGTTTCTAAAATATGTATATATCAACATTTGACATCAACATATTAGCATTTGATCTTTTTTTTTATTGTAAATGTTTACTAGACGATTAAGTCAATAAAATGATGAATATTCAAAATGGAAGTGACAAGAGGATGAATTATTTTAGATAACATCTAATCTCAGTAGCCTAATTGATAATAAAGGTCTCGTATAAAATCTTTTTATCATTTCAAGAGATTCCTTCGCTAATTACTGTGTCGTAGAGAAACTATTATTTGAATTGCAAAAAACAAAATAGAATAAAAACTAAAATAAACTTCTTGTCTATCTATATTATTTTAGCTGTTTCATACAATCAACCAAAATTCAGTGCATATGCTTCGTGGAGTGGTAATGCAATAACTTTTGCCAGCACTGGCACGGTTGGCGCAGCTCCTTACGGAATTTTTGTTGATATTAACAATACGGTTTATGTGGCTAATCGAGCAAATAGTCTAGTTCAAGTGTGGTTAGAAGGCAGTAATATGCCTACAAGAAATATCACTAATGGTTTGTATCTTCCATACAGTATATTTGTTACAATCAATGGTGATATTTATGTTGATAATGGAAATTTAAATAAGCGTGTTGACAAATGGATATTAAATGGAACTCTAAGTAGCTCAGTAATGTACGTTACACAAGAATGTCTTGGTATTTTTGTGGATATTAAAAATAATATACACTGTTCAATGTATAATGTTCATCAAGTTGCAACAAAATCATTAAATGGTAATTCAAGTATGTGGATAGTCTCAGCTGGTACTGGTTGCGTCGGATCAGCATCCAACCAACTTTACTATCCTCGTGGAATATTCGTTGATACTGATCTTAATTTATATGTTGCTGATTGTGGAAATAATCGAGTTCAACTCTTTCAATCTGGACAAGTAACCGCAAGGACTGTAGCTGGGGATGCAGCACCAGGAACTATTTCACTCTATTGTCCTAGTGGAGTGGTACTTGATGGTAATGGATATCTTTTTATTGTAGACAGTTATCATCATCGTATTGTTGCACAAAGTTCGAACGGTTTTCGATGTATAATTGGATGTTCGGCTGTCGCAGGTTCAACATCGAGTCAATTAAATAATCCATCGCATCTTAGTTTTGATAGTTATGGAAATATATTTGTTACTGATCGAGATAATAGTCGTGTTCAAAAGTTTATTTTAATACCAAATACGACTTACCGTAAGTATAGTATTGATTTAAGTAGTCAAAGAAAAAACTAGCTAAACATTTTACGATTGATCAGTTCTCAATATGTCAACCATGATACATCATCTATTTCGGTTTTAAAACGATTTTTAGTTTCTTTTAGTCGTATTAAGATGAAAATATCATATAAATCATTTATTAAAAATATTATTTTTATATATTGTATCGAACAGTTAAAAATTTTCCTATGTATATCTAACACAAAGATGAAGAGCTTTTGTATTTGTAAGATAGCTCAAAAGTTAGTATCTCTGTTTCAATGCTTTCTCAACCGCATTTTATAATTTGTTTTAGACAAGTCAATCATAAAATAAGTCTAAAAAGTACCATCGCTTTACCCTAGAAAAATACGAAAAAACTTAGATAATGATTTGCAGGGTCAAGAAGACATTACAATTTTCTAATCAAAATACAATTTTTAGATAATTAATAAAGACTTCAATGATTCATAAAATTATAATATGTTGATGAGAGTTTATATGATTTTAATTAACTCTAATTTTATTGTTTAGCTTTTTCCTTTAATCAACCATATTTCTGTCCATCTACAACCTGGTATCTCGATGGTATTACGTTCGCTAACTCCAGTATAGTTGGTTTAGAACCGTACTGTCTCTTTGTCAGTATTAACAATACGCTTTATGTGGCTGATCGACAGAATGGTCGAATCGTAATCTGGTTAGAAGGAAGTGTCTATCCTGACAAAATTATTTCTGGTGCTGCAAGTTTTCCACTAAGTCTATTTGCTACACTTTCTGATGATATATATATTGACAATGGTGTTAGTTATGCTCGAGTCGATATGTGGCCAAGAAATTCAAACAGTAGTGTTATTGCTATGACAATAGTTGAAGAATGTTATAGTATTTTTGTCGATCTCCAAAACACTTTGTATTGCGCGATGACTTTTTATCATCAGATCGCTAAAAAATGGTTAAATGATAACGGAACCACACTTACTGTGGCAGCAGGTAATGGTGCAGCGGGGTCGACTCCATATCAACTTTATTATCCTGCTGGACTCTATGTTGATGTTAAATTTAATTTGTATGTGGGAGATTGTGGTAATGACAGAATTCAAATGTTTCCATTAGGACAAGTAAATGGAATTACAATAGCGGGAAATGGAGCACCAGGTACTATTACTCTCGATTGTCCCAATGCAATTACATTTGATGCTAATGGATATCTCTTCATTGTTGATAATTACAACCACCGAATTATTGGAAGTGGACCTTATGGCTTTCGATGTTTATTTGGATGTACGAGTATACCAGGTTCTGCACCCAGTCAATTATATTATCCACGAACTTTTGGTTTCGATAGTTATGGAAATCTTTTTCTTGCTGACCAATACAACCATCGCATTCAGAAATTCATTCTAGCATCGAATTCATGCAGTAAGTCTTATAAAATAGAATCAAGTAATATTATTATAGAACACATACGTGAAATAATATTTAGTACTAGTCACCTGTTAATACGAGGTAGAAAATTCAGAAAAAAAAACTGTTTGAACAATTTTTTTCACGGTAATGTCTTTGAAAATATTGTCAGTTTGAAAGATATTATGATTCAACTAGATTTTTATGTTCGATTAATCAACAAAAAAATCATAGATATATCATTTAATGAATTTTGAAAGTAACTATTTGTTTATTAGAGTTCATATTCTAGAAAATACAGTTAAATAACCGTCAAAAGAATTCTTCTCTTTGAATCATTTAACAATCATAAATAATCAAGATAAAAATTTTATCAAACTATTTATTTTAGGTATTTCTTACAATCAACCTAAATTTTGTCCAGATGCATTATGGTATTCAAATGCTTCAACTTTTGCAACAAACATTACCATTGGTTCACTACCGTATAGTATATTTATTGATGGCATTAATAATGTGTTTGTGCCTAGTAGACTTTATAGAACTGTTTCAGTCTGGACTCAATGGAGTGACACACCAACAAGTAATATTTCCAGTTATTTAAATAATACATTTAGCTTGTTTGTTTCAATTACTGGTGACATTTATATTGATAATGGTTATTCAAATGGTCGCGTCGATAAATTCATATTTAATACATCAAATAGTGTCACTGTCATGAATACTAATGGAAGTTGTTTTGGTTTATTTCTGGATATTACAAATTATCTTTATTGTTCTCTTCGAGATTTTCATCAAGTCGTTAAGCTCTTACTAAACAATGGTACCAATATCCCAACAATTGCAGCAGGCATCGGTTTCGCAGGATCAGCATCAAATATGCTTGATTCTCCACAAGGAATCTATGTTGATAATTATCTCAATTTGTACATAGCAGATTGTGGTAATGATCGAATTCAACGCTTTCAATTCGGACAACTCAATGGTGTGACATTAGCTGGAAATGGAACATCAGGAACTATTACATTGGACTGTCCAACTGATATTGTTCTTGATAGTGATGGATATTTATTCATTGTAGATAGCAACAATCATCGCATTATTGGATCATCATCCTACGGCTTTCGATGTTTAGTTGGATGTTCCGGAGGTGGTTCTTTATCCAATCAATTATCTTATCCACAGAGCATGGCTTTTGACAGTTATGGAAATATGTTTGTTACTGATCGAAATAATAGTCGTGTTCAAAAATTTATTCTTAAGAATAATACTTGTAGTAAGTATTGTTTTGAAAAACAGTATCTGTTCACTTAAGATTAATAAATACTCTTTTATTATGAAACAAGAAAGAGATGCTACATCTCTATGTGTACAGTTGCATATCATATCAGCTTGATTCGTTTCGAGTAGAAATCATATTTAAACTGAGCGAAAGTTTTAGGAGTGTCAAAAAAACATAGCCTATTTCACACTTTATTTAATAGAATACTTCGAGTTTTCTTTATTCCAGCTATACCAACAACCATTCAAACTACTGTAGTCTCGACCACAAATGCTCTTCAAAGTACGGTTACTCTTGCAACAACTACTATCGGTACTACGGCTGCTCAAATTACTACGGCTTTACAAATTACACTGGATTCGACCACAGCTACCGCTCAAACTACTGAGACTGAAACTACAACTATATTGGCACTTGTCCAAATGTCAACAACAAGCTACATTGAATCCACTACAGTCTCGATCAAAACTACTCCCATAATGATTTACTCTTCGGCGACAAGTACTGTCGAAATCACTGAAGCTCCTACAACAAACCATATCGAAACAACTGAAGCTTTAACGACAAGTGCTCCCACACCAGGTAAAATTCCTGCGACGAGTACCGAAGCAACTACTGAAGGTCCTACGACAAGTATTTCCATAACCACTGAAGTTCCAACGATGAGTACTACCAAAAGTACTGAAATTTCAACAACAAGTTACATCACTACTACTCACACTTTAATTACAAGTACTCCAGATACTAGTGAAATTCCAACTACTACCGCTATGGAAACTTCTGAAACGGCAACCACAAGTATCATCTTAAGCACTATAGATGCAAGCACAACAACAATATTTCCAATAGGTTTGTTTCATCAAATACTTTTGTTTTTGAAAGTTGATATGGGAAATTTCTACTATGATAGATAGAATAACTACAAACATCGTCGAAACAACTGATACAAGAATTTCAACACAGCTTGAGCAAGGTAAGTTGCAAAGTGTACATAGTTTCAAAGAGATAATGTTGTTAAAATATTTGTAAAAGAAACCTCCTCAATACAACAACAACAATCATCGATAATTACAATTGCAACAACTTCGGAGACACCTATTACTAACGAAAGTAGGAATTATAACACCGTGAGAGATAATTTATTGATCTTTTATATTCTAGGCTGTTTTTCACCCACTGTTATACTCATTCCTGGTAAATCATCTTTAACATCTCCATTACAATATCGACGAAGTCAAGATTTTTCTATTATTTCGATTATTCAATTAAATTGTCCAGGTTTAATTTCAACAATTACTACATGGACAATTAAGAACTGTAGTTCTTCTTGTTCATATCAAATTCAATTAAATGAAAAAGTAATTACAACATTGAGTGAACTATATATACCATCAAGAACTCTTGATTATGGTGTTTACGAATTAAAATTAACTGTAACACTAGTTGATTTACCAAGTTTAACATCATCATCTTCAGCATATGTTAGAATTACTCCATCAGGTATAACAGCAAATCTTGTTCAATTGGGAACATCATTAATTACACGTGGAAATCAACAAGATCTTTTACTCGACCCTGGAACATTTTCTATTGATCCTGATGAAGATTCATTTGATGCAAGTGTAAGTATCAATTATATGAATGCATATACGAATCTTTCGTTTTAATTTCCTTCTTTTTTTTTGAATAGAAATGGAAATATGAATACTATTGTCGAATTTATGGTTTATATAACTTTCCAAACTTACAAGGTATATTACTAAGTATTGATGATAATCGAACTGATCCTTCTAGTCCATCATGTTTATCAAATCGATCAAGTAATATTGATTATCTTGATATGCTATTTGTATTCTAATAACTATCATATTCTTTTTTTTTGAAAATAATCGAACAGCACTGCACTATACTAATTCTAGTATTTCACCAAAATCATCAATAACAATTCTTGCTGGTTCACTTCAAGCAAATCGAACATATCAGTTCTTAGTTTATATGGAAAATCGTCGAAATTCTTCTATTCAAGCAACTGGTTACTTACTTGTTAAAATTGAAGAAACTCGTCCACAATTAATTGCTGTTGGGTAATTTGTTTTTTGTTTTTGTTTTATTTGATTGAACATTGAAATATATTTGATTTAGTTGTGTTATATCAACAATGTGTCTTCCTAATCTTGAATTTCAACTTGTTAATCCAACAACACAAGTTGCTCTGTTTTCTATTTGTGTTGGAAGTTGTACAGATATTCAAAACATAACATGGAATATTTATTTTTACAAAAATAACAAATCAACATGAATTTTTTTTTTTTTGTTTTTTTATTTTTTAAATATTTTTGTTTTAATTTTGATTTATTTTTATTGGAAAAGAGATATGAACAAGAGAAAGAAGAAAAAAAGAGAATAGAATGAGAGAAGAATTAAATAAATAAATAAATAAATGAATAATTATTAACGCGAGGCCTTTCGAATTGTTTTTCTTTTTCAAGCGAGTAAATAAGACTTTGTTTTAATATAATCTAATGTATTTTGTCGGTATTTTTTTAATACTCTTGATGTTGAGTCTGAGCGCACCATACTGCATTTCTCGATAGTCTTCTAATAATGCATTTTGATGTATTTTTATTATTATTAATGTATTTTTATGTATTTTTATTATTAATGCATTTTGATGTATTTTTATTATTATTAATGTATTTTTATGTATTTTTATTATTAATGCATTTTTATGCACTCTGATGTGTTTTAATGTGTTTATTGCATTTTTATTATTACTGCATTTCTAATGCATTTTAATGTGTTTTAATGTGTTTATTGTATTTTTAATGCGTTTTAATGTGTTTTAATGTGTTTATTGTATTTTTATTATTAATGTATTTTAATGCATCTTAATGTGTTTTAATGTGTTTATTGTATTTTTATTATTAATGTATTTTAACGCATTTTAATGTGTTTTAATGTATTTTTACTAAAAATTTTTTATTAATTGTAACTACTACGATCGTGTCGTTATTGATCGATATGCATATATATATATGGTGATGTATTACATTGAAGGATGCTGGTAGAGGTATTCATGGCTCAATGAGCATATAAAGGAGAGGTATCTCGTGATGGATGGGTCGTAACAAAAATAAGAAAACAAAAATTAAGAAAACAAAAGAAGAAAAAACAAAAAAGGATCTTTTTACAGTAGTTTTACGGAGGTAGAAATAACAAAGAAATATTTTGCAATAACAATGATAGGATAATATTTTATAATAAATATGATAAGGCGAGGGAAAATGGAATAAATCTGTCTTCCATAATTTCAGGTAGATACAAATACCACTGAAATGCTTTATGATAGAGTTACAATAAAAAAGTTGATCAGATAGTTTTACAATAAAAAAGTTGATCAGATAGCTTTACAATAAAAAATTTGATCAGATAGTTTTACAATCAAACATGAGGATATTGAAGGATATTTTACAGTAGATAAGGCAAAATGAGAATTGTAGTTTAGAGCCTTTGTCGATGTTCAGTGTTTTCATTCTTCCTTCGTTTCGAGAGGGCGAATCTCTTATTTTCGACCTATTTTTCTGCGAGTTTCGTTGCTTGTTTGCTAGGTCGTTTCTTTACTAGTAGGTGTTTCAAACTGTCTGTGAGCCTGTTTGCATACGTTACGGGTATATCGTCTAATGGCGTTCCATCGAATACTTCTCCCCATATCTGATGAAATTTTGATCCAAAATGTGCTAATGAGG